TGATTGTGGATGAGATCTTTAATATCATTTAACTTCAATTTATCATCTCAACACAATTTTGTAACATCACCATAATATTGTTTCTCATTTTAGGTTAAACTTAATGAATACAATTTCCATCAACATTTATGTCAACATAGCACATTTGGCTAATCATTTAGTTGAATTTGTTGATGGTACAAAGTAATAGAAATCTTACTAACATTATGAGATTGAAAACCTATTATGTAAGACTCCCCTTATGGAAAGTTGAGGATTTCTCATTCATATTAGATGATATTTTCATCACACCTAACAAGTTCTTTTCATGATGAATGTTAAATGTTATAATCCTTGGTCAAGGGAAAGTGAATATCTCTTTCATGATGAATGTTAAATGTTTGATGAAGCCTTGTTTCATAAATGTAGATATTCTTAATATTTGAGTCTCCATCAAATATATCAATCTTAATTTTTTTTGTTCCTCCATTGCTCGAATCTTTGTAGTTTAAGGAAGCTTTGGTATAAGGATAATAAGCAAGCAAAGCATGAAGATCAAGAAATAATTACTACTAAGAAACAAATACAAATTAAAGAGCATATATTTATGATTACAACTGAAACATGAAGGAAAGAAACACAACTTTGTTGTTTTGGCAACATGCTATTGCCATCACAAGCATCAAGTCAAAAAATCAAAATTAATTTCAAGCTCTCCCTGAAAACAAAAATTCTCTAATTAGAGCTCAATCAAATAATTATCATAAAGGATCACAATGTAGAAACTCAATATGAATAAATAAAAAATTAAGTAAATGTTTGCTTCATAATACATAGGAAGATTTGCATACATACCGCTTAATTCCTATGTATTAACACATCTAAGACCTAAACTTTAATTTTTACATACATGAAACATTATCCATACATGCAAATATTTATTTGACTTTTAAAAGTTAAAATTATGGTATGGTAGTTTTTATGTGATATGGCACATTTGTGTTGTATAAATATAAAAAGTAAACTTTGTGCTAGATAAGTAAATATTTCTATATATGTACATGTCTAACACCTAAACTTTAAGTTTTACATACAAGTCACCTCATACGTGCATGAATGAAAACGTATATTTAACTTTTTAAAAGTTAAATTAGTGGTATTTTTATGTGATATGGAAAAATTGTGTAATATAGATAGAAAAAGTTACATTTAGGCGTTAGATAAGCAAATATTCCTATGTATTTACATATCTAATGCCTAAACTTTAATTTTTACATACATGTCGCCTTATCTATATGCATGAAACGGTGTATTTCTTTTCAAAAAAAAAAATTAAAATGGTGGTATATTTATATTACATGAAAGATTTATGATATAAATGTTAAAATAAAGTTTAGCTGTTAAATAATACAAAGGAATTAGATGGTACGTATTTTAATGCCCCGAACTTATAACACTTCTTCCCCTCCATAATAATGATGCATACGATCATGCAGTTCGCAATAATGTAGGGAATAGCAGCCTCTTGTATGCCATCCATTCGCCTTTGACAAATTATGGGGGCCGTTTGTCAGATGTGCCAACGACAGAACAACATGTTTTTTAAGCCTTTGGCCACCGTCCAAGTCCATCATTGACGCAGCATTAGCAGACAATATTCAATATATATGGCACCTTTCTTATTCATAAAATTGTGTAGTTAAGATAGATATATTTTATGTGATATGATAGATTTGAGTGGTATAAATGTAAAAGACAAAATTTTTTATTTTAAATATAAAAAACATAAAAATCTTGTGGTATGTATGTAAATGCCCAAAAAAAAAAAAAAAAACCTCTTCTGAAATCATCAAGCCCAACTTTGAAATGGGATCTTTAGCCACCTCTCTCTCTCTCTAAGAGATACATACACACCTATGAATAGATTTCATAATAATTTATATTAAAATTATATGTCTAAACATTGTTTCATGAGTTATTATTGTCAACGAAGTTTAAGTTAGTTAAAGATATCAACAACGACACCCACCATCAAAACCACCGTCATCACTTGTCGTTGCGGCCATCAATGATGTTCATTATCTCTATTAAGGTTTATGCTCATACTCCTGATTGTCAATCTCACTTGGAGCAATCTAAGTGTCCATCAAACATCTATTAATGGCAACTTCAAAAGCTCAAAGACTCAGATCTACCTCCTAGGCAAGTCATTTTCCATATACGAAAGTGTTTCATCTATAACATGCAACTCTATCACGAGGAATGTTTACGTACGGATAATGTATATGTCAATTGGTGGTATTGTGAGGACAATACCCACCAAATATGCACCTACGTTGCCTGCACATAATATTTCTTCCTCTATCACATCTCATAACATTCGATTCTGGTCGAAGGCAAGTCATTTTCCACAACTCGTCATAAATGAAAGTGCTTCATTTATAACATGCAACTCTATCATGAGAAAAGATTACGTACAGATAATGTAAATGCCAACTGGTGTTATTGTGGAGACAATACCCACCAAATCTTCACCTACATTGTCCAAACATGATATTTCTTCCTCTATCACATCTCATAACAGTTGCTTCTGATCGAAGGTAAGTCATTTTCCATAACTCATGTCATATATGAAAGTGCTTAATTTATAACATGCAGCTCTATCGTGAGGAATAATTACGTATGGGTAATGTATATGCCCATTGGTGGTACTGTGGGGATAATACCCACCAAATCTGCACCTATGCTGTCCGCACATAATATTTCTTCCTCTATCACATGCCATAACAGTGCTTCTGGTCGAACATATGACGTAGCAAAGGCAGATGAGATTCAATTTACCAAATCTATCACTAACACTCAATCTGAGACTTTACAGACCACAATAAAATAGGTGATGAAGTCAATTATGTGAATGACTCGAACTTATCATACAACATAATTTCTGACCCACAGGAATCTAATTATTAACACTAATCAATTTATTTTTTTACAATAATACACACACTTCAATTTATAAGATATTTTCATAAAACTAATAGATTTAACTTCAACGTAACTAAAAAGCTGCTCAACACAAAATCAAGCAAAGTCAATTTGGTTTAAGCTCGAGTCAAAACTAAAGCAAGTGTTTGAATTTGAGTCGAGGTCAGCTAACCCTGCTGAAATAACTTCAAAACCCTAAAACTCATTCAATTTTCATTATATTGAAAACTAAGGATGACGAAGAAGAGACTAGACCAGATGGATCCTCTAAATTAAAACTAAGGTGCATTTTCCATCCAGTCAATTCTCACAGCAAACAAGGCAAATAAGGCAGACATGAGAACCTATGTAGAAAACTAGTAATTGATCTGGTTGAGCAAATTATGGCTTCTCTGTGAATGAGATTAAGAGCAATGGGAATAGCACATTTATGGAACATTTAAGCATATGAAAGGAAATATCAGCCCAATTACAAAGTAAAGCTCTCCCAAGACAAATGGGGAAGCCAGAAATTGATACCTGAATTCATGATCAGCCATGTTAGGCTATACAAAATCATGTTAGAGGAAGTAAATTCAATCTCCGATCAAGTTCTGGCGTTCTTCATAATCATTTGTAGCAGTAACTTTGCAGCAGACAGTTGCTGCTACATCCACTGAAGAGTTAGGGCAATGTACATATCACTTAGATCCTCTTGTTCCTGCCCCTAATCCAATCTCTGATAGAGGAACCCTCAAAGGCAACAGAAGGCGGCTTTGCAGGTGCTTTCCTGATCTGATTGTCATAAGTTTTATCTGCTCTAGATGAAAATGGTGCCAATAAAGGCCTGAATGTGCTATTTCCATGTGGTGATCTTAGATTGAGATCCTTGCCCAATTTATGAGGAGATGAAGCAGCTGACATAGGAATTGAGGACCATCTTACAGTTTCGCGGCCGCTACTACAAGGACGAATAAAATTTGTTTTTCTCTCGCTTGTTGGCTGATGTTTAGCGGACGGTGTGTTTGATTGTTTGATCGGATCATTGTGCACTGGAGAGCGAAAGGATCTGTCTGGTTTATCCAACGAGGTTGAAGACTTGCGAGCTTTCATTGTCTTCATTGAAGGTGTCTTGGGCCATCTAAGTCTTCCATTAGAATGCTTTGTAGCTGTCATGGATTCAGAGCTGTAAGCCATTTCTAATAGCGTTTCAGCAGCAGAGAGTAACTCGGAGGAGTAAACTGTTTCTTCAGAAAAAAGGTGAGAATAAAAAAATCAGTAAAACCAAGGAGGTGAAACTTTACATGATGAGTGCTTAAAGAAGAGAGCGTGAATCTACAACTTCTATCGTCTCAAACTTACAAAACGCTCTACAACATAGAAAACGCGAAGCAGAGACAATGGGCAGCATGGTTAAGCCCGCACCCCAAGTCTGGTTCATATTCAAGAGTTTTATGATGAATAAATACACCTCCATAACAATAGCATAGATAAATACTGCAATGTAATCCCTATTGTAAATTCAAGAATTCAGAAAAGCTATTGCATGGTTCAATACAATCTTAATTATTGATTAAATCAACACAATGTTAGTTACAAAAGTCGCATGCATTTGAAAATATACTTAGATTGTTTGAGCACATGTAACAAATGGATTAAAAAGGATTAAGTAGACCAACAATAACATGGATATAAGTTCACAAAAAGGCTTGCATAGAATACAATGGAAATAAATTGCTTTAGTAGGGAAGAACAAAGAATAAGAATACATAAATCAAGCCACATATAGTTAGGATGAAGTTAATTATGAAGGGTGACCATATTTCCCTCATCTAAGTTCAGCTGCAGCAGATATCCATAAGTACACAATAGGTTTCATTTTTGCTGAATGTTAGCCTATTTTCCGCCAAAAATTTGTTCCTTGAAATGTCATAATGCAAGCAATTAAAATTTCCAAAAAATAAGCTTTACAGCACTTTCAGAAATTAATGAAGTCGATTTATCAACTCATGAAATGGATATCAAACTAAAAAAAGGGACAAAACAAATGGTCCAGCAGTTTGAAGTGAAAGCCAAATTTGGTGATGTATTAGCCATAGAAATCATTGAGATGAGTTTCACAAGTTTTGAATTTTGTCAAACCAGCTGCATAGTTCTAAATTACCACTGTATTTTGTAGCATCAAATATGCAAATTGCATCAATTCAGCTATGATTCTTAGCCGACAGAACTTCAGTTAAGCAATTAATTGTTATGTTATGCATGAAATTATGCCAGTGATGCAAAATCAGTACTTCAAGCACGATCTCAATTACAACTCACTTGATCTAAGGGCAATCAGTATAGAGAAAGAAATGATTAAAGCTCACATATTGTGTGGTAAAAAAATAACACCCAAAAACCAAATGCCCAAATCAGATCATGATGCTGATATATCATTCATGTAAATTCACTAAGTTCAAAAGAAAAATATTAGTTCCCATACAAACAATGATAGATCCTTGGCACAGCAAATACACCCTCTAGCAAGAGAAAGAAGCGAGGCCGCTTCTGGCTTGGAACAAACCTGAAGTGGGAAAGTAAGTGGAAAAGTAGAAGCCTACGGATTTAGATAGAAAACAGAGAAAAAGGAATGAAAAGAAAGAGTAAATCCTTCAATCATTCATTTTGATTCCTCGTATAATCTTTTCCTTTTTTTTTACACTCACGCACACACCTGTATGTGCCAGGCCATGAACTCAAGGCTATGTGGCTGGACACAAAGCACCCAACGACTAGGATAAGTTGGTTGCACGCCTCATAAAATCATTTCATTGACCCTAAAATCATATGTTGCACTCAATCGTGTGGCACATTGGCCGGAAAAAAATGTGAAATGTGAATCCCGTGGGATGCAATCGAGCGCTCACCAAGCTACACACGCATACATACAAATAAAAAAAATAAAATAATAAAAGTTGAACACAAGCCATTGAATCTTCAAAGCACAAAATAGACGTGAATCTTCAAGCAGCCATAAGGAGCTGAATGTTCAAGAAATTGAACCTATAGCATTTCATTTGTCACCAACCAAATGTTATGTCCCTAACAATATGCCAGTCAAAATGACAAATTATCCTTAAACTAATAAAAATAAATGCAACCATAATAACAAAATACCACTAATAACCAACTTAAAAACTAAGAAAAAAATCAAATTTAAAAAAAAGAAACCTAATTATCAAATATACAATGGTACATATGCTAAAATACGCACCCTATGCGCCATCACAGCACCATATTGCCGCCTATAACTACTTGGTAAAATGGCTATAAGATTTTTAGTGCTGCCTTTCAGGAACAAGAACCAGTTTTCTTCAATGAAACTTCAGCAATATATCATGAACTTTAGAAACTAACTGTTACAAAGAGTAAAACAAAAGTAGCATTTATTTTAAAGACCAACCTAAACCCTAAACCCTAAACCCTAAAGGCGAACTTTGATAGTGTAAATGTGACAAATAACCTATGCATTGTTAGACGCTCCAACTAAAGCAAGATCCAGTAAGAGATACACTAAGAACCATTAGAATAGGTGATATATGAAATCAAAAGAGCATATGGTTACAGAAGCACGTTCATCAGCATTACAATCAGCTGAGTATTCAATTTTTAAAAAGCTATTCCGCCAAAAAAGGAAAGATTTCCATAGAAAATAAAGTATTATTTTCCAAAATTGGCATGTTTCAAATGATACCCACATAATAGATACAGAATATTACCTTGCCTGTACTTCTCCCAGTTAAGTGACCGCCATGTACTACAATTAGATCCAGTATTCACATTACTTACAGAACTATCATCAATAGTTACTGTCCTAGATTCCATCATAACTGCTTTATCTTTATCCTTCAATAATAAATTAAACTTAGAATAATCTAGCCTCATCTCACACCTTGAAACTACTGCAGATCCATTGTCTTTAGAGTCGCTACCCAGGTAAGTACCATTGAAGGAGGGAGTAACCTCAACTGGTTGGTCTGCTTTTGAGTTAAATGAACCAGATTCAAGAACTGAGTTCAGTATCTCTACAACTTCGACCTCAGGTTGAGTTCCCAAGACAGCAGATTTATTAGATGGCCCATCAGAAGGAGGCTGGAGACTTGGAGTAAAACTTCTTATGACTTCAAGAAAATCATCAATTTTCTGCTGGTTCAAAGAATCCAAATTATGTCCGTGTGTCGAGGTGGAGCTGCCCACTATTCTAGCCCATTTAGACTGACATGAGTTTCTACTTGAATTTGCTTTACAAAAATCAACACTTGGCTTTCCATTTCCACCATGAGAAACTGACCAAGGGAAAGGTGGAATGCCAATGTAATTACAATTTTTATCTTTTGGAGTAAGCTGTGCAGGAACTGAAGACGTGTTAGGATTAAACATATAAGCCTCCAATTCATGAGCTGCAGGCAGTCCCAATTGTTCCAGAAGGTTCTTAGGCTGAAGCACAGTGGACTCACTCCAGTTAGCATGAAGAGAATCCTGATCCTGCAAGCAGTATTAGCTATAAAATGAAAGAACTGAAAACAAATTATGTAGTAACACTGTGATAGTGAGGAAAAACTAGCAAAACTAACCTTGCTCTTTGTAAGCAATTCCTCTAACTGTTTTTCTTTTGCTTCACAATCAGAACTACTTCCAGTCGAAAAACTAGGATCCTGGGAGCTTTGAGATGCCTTTACATTGCTGCCATTTTCTGCTATTTGAGATCGAGGACAGAGAATGGAACATGCCTTTCTAACTGAAAGAAGAATGCTATCGTTTGAATTTGAACACTTCTTTCCCTTATCCATTGGTAACTTACCAAACTTGTAGCTGCCATCTAAAAGTTCACAGAGGGATATTTCATCCAAATTCCTTGCAATATCCTGGAGATCTAATTTGGAACCATGTGTACCTGCAATGAGGTGTTTAGGTGTATTAATGAATATGCATAACAACGGATGGTTAGCATGCCCAGTCCTAAAACACGTTGGAACTGTTAATGTTATGGCAATAACAATAAGTAGATACAGCAAATTTATGGTGCACCATTACGGATATGAGGAGATAGACAGACATGAGATATGTTTATTACTAAAAATATAAGACACCGACTTGTATTGAACACAATATTATAATATTACATCTTAAAATGAAAAAAATTAAAAATTAATTACACAAATAAAATAATATGAAATAAATTCATATAATAATATATTTAATTAAATTGCTGAGAAAATATTTAAAGTAACTAAATGCCTTAAACACAATTGAAGAAGAAATAGTCGCATGATATTATATGTTGCTGGCTTTAAGTTGAGAAATTTGATTATTTTAGAAAAATAAAAAATATATATAATGAAAAAAAGCATAAGAAAATAGAGCAAAAGAAGGAAAAAAATAGTGTTAAGTAGCCATTTAAGCTATTCAAGTAATATCTTTAAAATAAAATATAATAGATGGTTTAACTTTAGTTATTTATCTAATATACTTTTACAGTCAAAATTTGTTATACAGAACACTTGTCAGACGTGTGTATCTATTTGTTTTTAATTTTGTTAAATAAACATGCAAATGGTGTGCCCAACATTTATTGAAAGGGTATCAAGACAATGAACATTTAAACATGTACGACATAGCATGATTTATCATTACAAATATATATATATATATATATATATATATCATATATATATATATACAGTTTCTTCAGAATAACATCATATAAATTCAAAAGAATAAAAGCATGTAACAACATGAGGCCTTCAATATAAAATGGTGAAATCTTGGTTCATGGTTAATTATATGTAGAACTCACCGTTCCATGTAGGCAATGATATGGCCATGAATTCTAAAAATTTACTATTATAGATAAAATAGTTATTTTCTGTCATCTAGATTTTATTAGTTTATTAGAATTATTCTAATAAATTTCATAAAATTTATTAGAAATTAATTAGAATTTATTAGTTGTTTAATAGTAATTCAATAGTTTGTCAATAGTTTCTTATTTTTTTCTATTTATAAATTTGAGAATGTGGAGTCATGTATGATAGTTTTATGGTGAGAATGAAATTCTACATTGGATATAAAAAAAAATTCTTCTTCGTTTATTGTGATATTTAATCCTTAACCAGTGGTGAGACCAAGAACCCCTTGGACGAGGTTCTCTTTTTGTTCAAGCATGAGATGATATTATCTTACATTTTTTCAAGGTTGTCCTACATTGAATTGGAACTAAAGATACAATTGCATTGTCATATATGCAAGATCGGTTTGAAATAAAGTTTCAGTAAGTGTTTTCCATGAACAATGCACTCATTCTTCATCGTGAACAATAAAACCACCATAAAATTTTCTCCTCGCTCATCTAGCTACTAATTTCTTCCATAAGCACATCCAAGGGTATTATCATGCATGATCAGTGAAATTTTTGTGCATGAATACTGGAGCATTGAAAGAAATAAAATAAATAAAAAAAGAAATTCAAGCAAAGGGAATTAAAAAAATAAATCAAAGATGAAAAAAAGATAAATAAAGAAAGGAAAAAATAATTAACTTCGACAACATTCAATATAGCAATTGTAAAACTATTGGAAGAAAATCTAGGTTCTCATACAAGGCATTCAATTTTCTCTATCCAACAAATTTAAATAACCTCTTTAAATGCATTAAAATATAAAAGTTCAACAGTGTAACATGATTCATACATAAGATCTCAATTGAAATTTTAAAATGAATTTTTCTTAATTGACAAATGTTGTCTCATTCAAAGGTCTAAGTTATGGGAGCCTCCACTAAAATAATTTAAAGTTTATTGCATGTCTTTTACCTGCCATTTATTGCCAAAAAAATAACATTATTTTTTGAGAGTTAAATATGCTACCAAGTACTAACCATGCAATATATCTAGGACATGATTGACTCCAATGTAACTTTACACTCATATTAATATAACTAAAACTTGATAATCTTATATTGTAATATGTAAAGACTAAATATTATCGGTAAAATAACTAGACATAATACTTCATAAAGGTTGCATATCCTAATAGTTATCTCAACTTGTAATATTGACATATCATTTTCATAGCATATAGTTGAAATCATAATAATATTATGACCAGCTACATTTAATAAATGGTTTAACACCCTTAATTCTGATTTTCCTAGAAATATTGAAAGATGTTCAAAGCTTGATTAAGCCATTTTAGATGATGAGAAATATATAAGTTGTCATGATTCATATTATGATGATGTCTACATATTGAAATGGCCTATATCTCCATTTTCAATTTTTAACAACATTTTAAGGATATGTTTGGTTGTGATTTTGTTTTTGTGCTTAAAAATAGCAGCTTCTTCTAGAAAATATGTTTGTTTTTTTTTTCTTTCAAAAACAAATTGCTACAAATTTGCCAACATATATATTATGAAAGCAGGGAACAAATATATTTTCCAAAATATTTCTACTTTCATTTTAAAACAAAAATCATAAAAAAAAAAAAACTAAAAGAACCAACCGCGCCCTAGCACCTTGTTCAATTTATCAGTTGTGCATATGCTAAATTTACAAACTTTGCCCAAATGTTTTGGAAAATACTTCAAAATAATGATAATCCTATGGTTGCATGGGTTTAAATGAAATATTAACATAAACACAATTTTATGACGTCATAATACTGTAACAAATCTATTGGAAAAATGATGGATTAGTGCATCTAGATTCATTAATGCTCTTATGGAAAACATTACTATTTCTATCGAAACATATTTAATCAAGAATTAAGTTTTAATTAATTAAATACAATAAATGGCGTTTACTCTAGAATCATGAAGCTTGAACTATATCTTGACTATTCTCTTGCTATTTATATAGAAATTTTTTTTGATGACAATAATAAAATTTAGTTATTACTCATAACTTCTTTAAAATGCACACATAAAGTCAAGCCCAAGCCTAGTAAATAAATTATAATCTATGGAATCTCTTGACTCCTAATGTTGAGCAAAGTATAAAAGAAAATTATCATATCACAAATAACATTCTATTTATCTATGCTTGGGAATGCAATTGGTTTGAAACCATATATAGATGGCTGAGACTGGCATTAATCTAATAAATCATCTTATATCCAGAAAAAAATTATTAATTTTAATTAGAACCATTATTTTAGTTGGAGATATTCATATATTCATGCCATCTTCTCCATAAGCACGGTATTCCATTGCACCATTTATTGATCATATATATGAGTTGCATTGTTGATTATAATGATGGAGTTGACATATGATATCAAAAGTTCTTTCAGATTGCCCGAGAGTAGTACAATCTACGATTCTTAGACAATTACTTCTGGTTGAGCTCGATGGTATTCCTTCAAAATCATATCATCCTTTATTCAATTGAAAGCATCATTGATCATTTGATGATCTATGAGTAATGGAGCATGATATTTTCTTTGAGAATATCAGTTTAACTCTCCAAATTAGATGTTTAGCAGTTAGGGGGATTAAAGAAGAAATAAATTCTAAATTTCATCATGAAAATTAGATTTATTTGATGTGCAATAGTATTTATTATTCCATTAGGATTTTCTAATCACTACATCAAATTTATTAGTAGTTTGTTAGCAACTTATACTACTTTGTTAGTTAGCAATTTATTAATTTCTAAGAAGCTTGATGGTAAGCAACTTGCGAGGGTTGATTATTTCTTTTATCTACAAAAATGAAAAATCTTAGTCATGTAAGATAAAAACATGGCATGAATAAAACTCTAAAAGTGAAAATTCTCGTTTTTCATCATCGCCATCTATTCCAATATTTGATACTTGATCAAGTGGAAGACCTAACCTCCTTCAAGAAGTTCTATTTTCCCTCAGTTGTGAGATTTGCTTATCTTAAACTTTTACATCTTTACCATCTTCCCTATTTTTTTTGGAGGGTTAACAATATTCCAACCGAGAGATATCTAGTTATGTGTGAAACAAAAACATTTGTATAAGCATATGAATATAGTGATCCAATATAAGCTACTACTTGACACACAACTAAGTTGCAAATTCACTGCATTGCTACTTTCCATACAAACTGTCATCAAGTTAGCTCTTTATAAAATAAATTGATGCAATCATAGTTAAATGATGCTTTAATGAAACAAAAGCATAGATTGATATGCTACAAATTGTGAAAAGGTAAATTTCTAAGTAGAATTAGCATTTGCCACTTGATAACCTAACCATTCTAATATTCGTCCGTTGGCATCATGTGCCTTGTCTTAATCATGACATACCCAAATGTAGTACTGCACCCGTATAATATAGCTGTGTGATATTAAGAACGCAATAAATAGAGGATTTTGGTATTTGGTCTATATCAGAGATAACTAAAAAATTAAAAAAAAAATTACATACATAGCACTTACTTTCTATGTATTTACATATTTAACACCTAAACTTTAATTACTATATATATATGCCACTTAACTATGCATGAAAAGGCGCACTTCACATTTTTAAAGTTAAAATAGTGTTGTTTTTTTATGTGATACGAAAGTTTTGAGTAGTATAAATGTAAAAATCGAAACTTAGATGTTATATATCTAAATACAAAAGAATTGGGTAGTATGTAAGGAAATGCCCCTAAATTAAATAAAGGGCCAGATGCCAAGTTATATGGATCACTTACCAAGAATATTGCTTCCACCAGAAAAAGTATCACTGCAAGCTAAATTGACTTTTGATGTAAGAGATTCATATTTGTTCTTCACACTTGCTCTAAAAACCTTCTTATCGGTCTTTCTACCATCATGAACACGCTTAAGTTTGACAATCTGAGATTTATCTGTAAAATTTAATAGAAACAAAGTTTTAGCACAGAAACAACTTTGTATCTTCGATTCAACAAATTATCCCATGAACAAAAACGCATCACATCTAACACTTAATCAGAAAGACAGAACATTTTAATTACATCATAGAGAAAATGAGAGCTCTTAAAGAGAAATTAGCCACATTCATGATAATTACAAAGAAATTAAGGAAGCCAAATAATTGAGACTACAGTGTGACTCCCTCCATTCATATGGCTTGAAAATCAAAATAAAAGACAAACTGTTTTAAACCCAAAAGTGCATCTTCGCAATGCCATGTCACTCACCCAAATCCCATCAGAGTACTAACAAAAGTTCGAGTTAAAATCACAATAACATAATTACAAAAGAAAATTAAAAAGCAGTCTGATGTCCACAATACATAAAAAGAAGACTTACACACATAACACTCAATTTTTATGTATTTACATATTTAACACCTAAGCTTCAATTTGAACATATATGACATCTTACCCATGCATGAAAGGTGTATTTCACATTTTAAAAGTTAAAGTAGTGATATTTTTTATGTATACGAATAATTTGGGTGGTATAAATGTAAAAAAACAAACATTCAAGTGTTAGATAAGTAAATACATAAGAATTCGGTGGTATGTATGTAAATGCCCATTACATAAAAACAAATGCTGATTAAGTTCTTCACAATACATGACAAGAGGAGAGTAATTATATGCAAAAGGTTAGTGCTGTTTAATCACATTGATGTCCCATAAGGGAAATAAGCCAATAGATAGTATTGCAAGTTAAAATCTTCGTATTTCCGACACACTATCATCTTGCAATAGCACTGAGTCCCATTCAGAATGCAACCAAGTGAGCACTTGTGTGTAGCGCTTTTTCTTTTGGAGAAGTGAAATCAAAAATAAGAAATTTGCCTCTTCTAAATTCTAAGTATTGGTGCAATTTCATAATTACTTCATTTGCAAAACACGGAAACTTCATTAATATTTTCCCCCCATCCCTGCCTCAAACTAATTAGAAGAAGAATAAGATACTAGATATAATAGTTATAAAGGAGCCTAATGGACCACAAGGTTTCTAGAATGCAACTTTATGTTCCTTCGATGATTCAAAGTATAAAGAAAAACACTTCTAAAAAGCTAATATGTGAATATTAAAAAGTAACGTGAAAACTCCAATGGAACATCCTTCTTTCTTCCATAATATAAAGAAATGGGTACTGATAACCATGAAGTGGTTATTGATAACCATTACATTCATACATCAAAAAGCTAGCATTTATAATTAAAAAAAAAAACTAAGTAGGTTATAAAATTGAGTCATTGTATGAATCAACTTACTTCTTTTGACTGACACATATAGATCGGAAATCTAAAAGCACTGAACAACACAGCATTAAGTACAATTCATTCTTAAGAGAGCAAAATATTTTATAAAATTTCCCAGATTAAATTGATTTTACATAATAAATACATAAAGGCAGTATAAAATGCTCACAAGAAAAATCTTAAGCATACACCAGTTTATGAGTCAGTTTTCAACAAACGACAATTCTTAGAACATATGATGCGTTAGGACCGCTAGATGACCAATGTGAACGCATTACCATAATGAACTGACAAGCAACAAAATTTAATTATGAACTTTAGAGCAAAACATATTTTAATAGATCTAAATGTATTTAAAACAGCCGTGCAAACACCAAAATAGAAAATTCTTCATATTGCACTTTTCTGACATAAAAATTTGATATAGATTTTTAGAAAGGAGTCAATAATTACCAGCTAATGTGCACCTTATGGGGTCCAATCCTGCCTTACCGGAGATACTACGATGGCTGCCAGTTCCAAACTCGTTCATGCAACTTTCCACATCATCAATTCTTGACCGTTTAGACGGAATACTGACCGGTCTTTTAGAATATTTTCGTCCGAGAAGTTTTCCTTCTTGGTTTTGTGATAATGAGGCATGCCCATCAACCTTCTCAAAATCATGCCCCTTAGTGTTCTCTCCAAGTAAGGGATGGGAAGGTAGATTGCCATGAACACAAGAGTCTTCATCCTTCTTATTTCTGGAACTCTCTGAAAATATGTAGCATTTATTATTAGTATTTGGAGCATTAAGCTACACTATTAAAACAGCAACCAGGCTCCTCATAGAGCGATGCTAATCTTAAATGAAAACTTCCAAATATGCAAATGAGTGGAACAAGTATAAAAAATACCAATCAAAAGCAAAACTCAGCTAATCAAGTATGCAGGACATAAACAGAAAAAATAAATTTTCAGTCAACTAATACAAAAAATGATAATAATAAAAACAAATACAATTAATGCGCTAACAAGTTTAGATCTCATGGTCCAGAATTCTACCTTGACATAAGAGTTTCTCCAAATGGTTGAAAGATGTAAGGAGAACGCTACAAAACCAAATAACATCAAATATGAAGTTGATCAAGTGAAAACACCCAAAAAGCCAGAAGTTATCAATGAAACAGATCGCTAATTCGGTAACCACTCAAAAAACTGAGAAAGAACTGTCTATGAAAGTTCAAGCATTTCGCGCATCAAACAAATAAACAAAAAATACTCACAGCTCAAAACCCTAACTTCAAACAACCGCAAAAATAAAGTAAAAAAAACATGCTTGCTAAAAAATACTCGAAATATAAAAAGTACCACGCAGTGGACAACGAAAACAGCGGACGCCTCAAAATCAGATCCTTTCGCTGCCAAAACAAATCTCATACCTGTACGACATGAACCAGTGCCAGAACCCTTATGAGAAGCAGAGGCTTCTTTCCCCGTCGAACTCCTGGCCTCGATCTCCCCAACCCTATCCAAATCATCTGATTCCATACGCTTATCAACCGTCACATTTACCGGCAAGCGCAGTTCCGCGGCGTCCATCCACCAAAAGGGGTCCAAACAAATCGCCAAAACCGCATCATTTCCAACTAACCCATAGAAATTCTTCCACAAAAGTCATGGATCTTCGAGATCCACAACAAAAACGAAGATCCTGGCGGCGAGAGAGTAGAGCAAAGGTCGAAGAGGAGCAGAAGGACAAAAGCAAAAATGAAGGCTTTAGGGCAGTGAGTAGTCAGGGGAAAGTATTTATAGGTTACGGGAAAATCCAAGAGATTTCCGTCACAATCGAATATTCCGGCAAGTCAGACAAAGCTGTTGGGTTTCCAGTAAAAAACCAGATGATGGAAATCGAACCGTTAAGGGTACCGAAAAATTACGGCAGATCGCACCAATTTACGGATGGAAATCTCAGACTATCGTTGGCTTAGTCTTAATTTTGGTTAAAATTATGAGTGCATAACGCTGAAAAGGATTTTAAGACAAAATGCAAACTCCAAAGAGCAACAAGAAAAAATTAGAATTGTCTATTTGTTAGGTTTTGTTTCTTAAAATAGTTGTGATATTTTGGAAGATTTCTAATCATAAATATTGGATAAGATTTAAATAGTTTCTAATAATATTACTAAAATGATTCAAGTAGTTCATGGGATACAAGATTGAATATTGATACACCATTAATAAATTCATACAACACGAAGTTTGAGGCATAGCATGAATCTTAATATAATCTTTTGAGTTAAAATAATTCAAACTAATTAAAAGTTATCCAGAGCACTGATTTCAACAAATTTATAGTCAAGTTAACCGTCTCGACGAGACAAACTCAATCATACCAAAATTAATCAAATTCAAGTCAAATCAAGCTCAGATCAAGCCACTAAACCACACTTGAAAGTTTTACGAACATGTTTGGAAGGTCAAACAAATGTTGTACCTGACAAGCTTAGAGTCCAATCGAGCGTCTCGAATACAACAAGTCTAAGATTACTCATTTTCGACATTATTAAGGTACTCAAATATTCATAAAACATCATATAATCGAATGAAGCTCTCCAAACTGTCCAATCAAAGTGGTTCATATATTTTGCATTAATTGCACCCATAATAATATAAATAGAGCTCCACATATCTCGTGAGGAGGAGGAGAGTTTGAGATTTGAGAAAGAACTTGAAACTTTGAGAAAGAACTGAAGTCTAACACTACCACCATCGACCACCACTGACATCCCTCGATTACCTCCGACCGTCGATGACTTTCATCGATTGTCATAGACCACCATTAACCGTTATCGACCCCGCTGACCTCCATCAACCACCGCTGACAATTATCGATCATTGTGAAACTCTATTGACCATCGTCGTCGATCACCGCCAACCACCATCGACCATCACCGACCGTCGTCGATCACCGCCAACAGTCGTCGACCACCATCGACAGGATGTCACCAATCACTATCAATTTTTACCCTTTACTAACAACAAATTAATCAACACGTCGACGTTGTAACTTGGAAAACCTAATAACCCTTTCCCATCTGTGGGATAAGTGGTTGTAACTGTAATCATATTTTTATAGTGAAACGTTTCAGCTGGGTCAATTTCATTATTAGTTGTTTCATCTTATCTAAGTGTGTGTTGAATCTTTGTATCACACTGAGACGATAATCTGCTACTCTATTACTAATAATTTTCTAGCAATCATCAGTTTGGTGTTGTCTGTGGGAAACTTCAATCCCACCACTGAAGTACTTGTGAGCCTTATTACATGGCCACCAAACACTATATTTTTTACAAAGGAGCATTTCGCTTCAACACCCATCATTTCATAGAACAGTCACAAGGCCAAGGGTGGCATGCCTCTTCAACTTTCAGTCGTGAGAGAAGCTATACTGTCGATGAAGGTGTGTCATGCCCTTCTCTGGAAGACCAAACGCGCAAAATGGCGGAGTCTAACCTTGAGATCTAACGGCTCCTCTGTGGGGCTCAACATTAGCTACCCACACCATTGGATGCAATTCATTTACCATTAACTCAGCGACCTACAGGAAATGCATTGCTCGAAGGAACTCGTACCGGCCCCCCTCCCTAAGAAGGAACATTTCCCTTAACATGCTACGATGTTGAACTCCTCGATACTGCAAGTTTTACTCATCCAACTTGCACAGCTCACCTAACACCATCACTCCTTAATGTCATTTCAGATGAGGTCATTCATAATGAGTTATGATGCCTCGTTCGATAAGAGTTTCCCGCTAGAGAAAAAGATTGCTTTTCCATTCACCATAACGTCCATAAATCTTTTCTCTTAGCGAATGTGGTCCCCCAAAACCCCATACCAACATGCTTCAAGCTTCCAAACCTTGACACCTACTAAGGGATAATTGAACCATATGAGCATATTTATCACTATCAAACCATCATGCACATTCGACGTGCCTCTGATGCGCTTATGAGTCACGTGTTCTGATATACCAAAATAATATGTTGTTTTAAGTATGTATTTTATGCCTATTTTTGGTGATATTGCATTTTAAATACGAATATTTTAGTATTTTTGTTGCAGGTATAATATTTTTAGGCATTTAGAGCAAAAGTAGCAAAAAAATACAAAATTTGGAGCCAAAACTTATGCCTATTTTTGGTGATATTGCATTTTAAATACTGGTATTTTAGTATTTTTGTTGCAGGTATAATATTCTTAGGCATTTAGAGCAAAAGTAGCAAAAAATACAAAATTTGGAGCCAAAATTGCAAATTTTGGGAATATGGTGCATGATGTGTCGTTTAACAAAGCCTTGGCGCATGATGCGCCAGATCTGACGCCAGATGAGCCAGACACAACTTTTTATGGATTAATGTGGTTCGAGGCAAATTTTGCACTGATTTTCAAAGTGACACTTGTTCTAAACATCTTTTGGTGTAATTTAATGCATATAGACACTTTGGAATGTTCTTTTATGAAGGGATATATCTCTTGGATCAAATGACACATCTTTTGAATTCAAAAGAGTTGACTTTTGGAGTGAATTTTGAATTCTTTTTTAAAGGATGAAGCTCAAAAAAAGAGAAGAAGGCTTCAAGGAGTTGGGGTGTGACGTAAAATGGGGATGGCATAAAAGGCAAGAGAAAAAGATAGAGAGAAAAAGTCAAAGACTTGGAGATTTTCTTCTAGGGTTGTGAGAGGAGAGGTAATGTGAGAGATTTCTTCTTCATTATACTTCTAAAAGAGAATTGAGAGTGTTTGTTGATACACCTAAAATATATACTGTTTTTAGACGCATTTTATACCTCTTTTTCTATTTTTTAGATATTGCGCTTTAATTGAAGATATTTATTTTTTCACGTACAAGTAAAAAGGTGAAAAATGTTAAAAAGAGTGAAAAAGGATCAAATTTGGAGCAAAAAGATGAAAATTGTGCTAAAGTGTTTTGGCGCTTAAGCGCCGGTTAAACAAAGAAGATCGTGCCTAAGCGCCAGAGGCCCCGCGCTTAAATGCCAGAGACAGTTATTTGGCGATTTTCTTCATTTGACCAAATTTTGAAGATGTATTTGAGGCACCTATTGGCTAAAGAAAGTGGTTATGAGCACTAGGAATGAAAATATTATTAAAAGACTTGCAAATGGAGACATTCTTTGGAGAATACTTCGAATTGGGACACGTTTTGAAGAGAAAAAGATTACTGTTGATTTACCTCGATGTGATGCTCAGAGTGTTGCAAAATTTTTAAAAACGAACATATTTTGTAGATTTAGGATGTCAAGAGTTATCATAACTGATGGGGGTCATTTTAGAAATGTCATAATGGAGAAGTTATTAATGAAATATCATATAAATCATAAACTTGCTACTGCTTATCATCCTCAGATAAGTGATTTGGCTGAATAATCCAATCAAGAAATTAAAAGAATTATGAAAAAATATGTCAATCCAACATAAATGGATTGGTCAGTCAAACTTGACTATGCTTTGTGGGCTTATAGGACTGCATATAGAACTCTGATAGGAATATCACCATATAAACTAATATTTGGGAAAGCTTGTCACTTACCAATTGAACTTGAGCTTAAAGCATATTGGGCGATTAAAGAGTTAAATTATAATCTAAAAGATGCTGGTGATAAAAGATTATTGCAATTAAATGAGCTTGAAGAGATAATGAATGAATCTTATGAAAGTACTGAGATTTACAAAGAAAAGATGAAGAAGTGGCATGATCAAAAGATTCTTACTAAAATATTCAGTCATGTCAACAAGTTTTGCTATATAATGCAAGGTTAAAATTATTTCCAGGCAAACTTAAGTCCAGGTGGATGGACCCATTTGTTGTGATAAAAGTTTATCCTTATGGACCTGTGGATATTAAAGATCCTAAGACTGATAAAGTGTTTATAATGAATGGTCATATATTGAAACCTTATTTTGTAGGGGATCAACATAAATTTAACAAAGGAATGATGTTGGGTCAACCAGAATAAACACTGTTTACATCAGGCTGACGATGTAAAACCAAGCTCTTTGTGGGAGGCAACCCATAGTTATCATGTGTTTTTGCTTTGATTATTGTTTGTGTGTGATTAAGAAATTTGGGATAGTATTTTTGAGACTATTATGTGTTAGTATTGATTTTAAGACTTTATTTAGTAACCTAAACATGTTAGAATGAGAATTTGGACGTTTAGTTGACTGGTGCAAAAATGTGTACTTGCGCTTAAGCACCAATATTCGGCGGTTAAGCGCGACAGTTAAAAAAATATGCTAAATTAAGATTCTAGAAAGTTTAACTGCCAATTGGTTTGTAAAAACATGTTAAGGTTGTTACAAGACGTGCTTAGAAGTTATTAGAGATTTAGGCCTATAAATAAGAGGGTTTTGTGAAAGAATTTCACCCCAGATCATTTTTAACCCTAAAAGTCTAAGAGAAATAGAGATTTAGAGAAGATGTCTTCATGAGAGATAGATTTGAAGAAGAAGAAGGAAGAGACCATGAGAAAGAGATTCATTAGTCAAAGTACAGAAGAGATGTAAAACGGTTTCTTAACCGTTAGTATCAAAGGAATATCGGATAAGATCAACAAAATTGAGACTACCATGGCTTTACTAGAGACCAAGGTAATTGAGATTCATGCACATCTTGAGCATATTGGATGATAACTGAAAATGCAATTTAGTCATACTAGTTATATAGAGGAAGTTGATAAGGAGA